GGAGGGGGGGGGGGGGGGGGGGGGCGTTGTTGCCCCTGGTTGGTAGAAAAACAAAGGGGGCGGCGCCCCCCCCCCCCCCCCAGGGTCCGCCAGTGGGCTATGCCTCTCAATAACGGAGGTATAGGTTCGGGGGGGGGGGAAGAGGGGTGAAAGGAAACGATGGGGCGTTCATCCATTCTTCCCGCTCGAAATTTTAGTTATTACATGCAGTAAAAAAGTTATTTTTTAGTTCAAAAAAATCTACTTTTTTTCGTTATGGCATTATTCCGCCAAATGAACATTATTCTCTGACTGAATCCAAGAACAAAAAGATCATGAACTGCGGAAACTTCAAATTAGGATCTTCAAACAACTGGCTCTTAACTACCTGATACAATATTTATCGATTACTTTTAGCACTATCCGTAGTATTTTTATTGCTTATTTAACAAGTCGCTCACAAAATTAGCTTGCACAGCATTACATAAATAACGCTGACAATTTTTTTCCGAGGAATCAAGCCATTTGTTCATCAGTGAGGCGAATGTACGCACTATTCCTAAGGCAGCCTGTAGATCCCAATTTATAGTGTCTGTAGAAAACGTATTTAATGAAGATCGGACTTTCTCAACAAGGCTGTCCTCCTCCCAACAGCCGGAAACACGCTTTAGATGTTTTTCCTTGACGACAGCAACCACGCTTAACTCACCCTTGCACCGCCAAAATACAGGAGCACCTGAACTGCCACAATCTAGTGGAATATTTAAAGTAATCAAAGGATGCGGCTTTCCGTTTTGTTCGCCAGTTTCACCGGCAACGCATCCATTTAGAAACAGAGCGGTTTTACCTTCATGACTAACCGGATATCCAAGGGTAAAGACTGACATTCCTTGCAAAGGAGCTTGCTCAGACAACTGTAATGGAGAGATCCCAATTTTCTTTACATCCAGTTTCTTCACATTTAAGTAATGCTAAGTCATTCTGTACATCACATTTAATAACCTGACATTTCAACCCATTAACCCGTGCATTAGAAACACGAATTTCCATTTCGACCGCACTGTTCTCAGTGGCATCTGCGACAACGTGATAAGCAGTAATGATTAATTCACTCCTGAATTTTTTACGTATGATGAAGCCAGAACCATAATCAACCTCCTCATAATCATCCTCACTCCTATCTTCAGCAACAGGAATATTGCACTTATCTGACTTAT